AAGTAGCCACGGAGACGAAGCCGTGCCTGCGTGTTGATGCTGTGTATCAATATATATATATGTATAGTTATGTATATGTAGACATACAAGTATGTATAAATCTGTGTATATATATATAATATCCAAAATAAATCATATACAGATATATATGTGTGTATATATATAATATGCATATGTATGTGTAGGTGTGCCTATATATATATATGTGATATATGTGCATATGTATGTATGCATAGCACTGCAATATATCTAATAATATAATCGTAGACTGTGATCACATATTGGTATCATGATGGATTTGAATATGAAAGATGGATGGTCATATAATGGCGGGAATCCAACTTGTGATCCCCAACTAGTGCAGCGGGATCGAAAGGGTCTCCAATCGATGATTCCTTCTCCCAACACCAAGTGAACCTGCCAACAATCTGAATATGGATCAAAATCCTCATAATACTCTCTAGTTCGCAGAACAGCAGCTATGGCTAGATTCGGCTAGATGTTTCATCCCCACAGCAGGGTTCCCATCGTTTTTTTTGGGAGGGCACAATATCCCAAGCCATGCACAGCTAATCCCATAGGTACACCCATAGGCTCCAGGCTCCAACATGGTACTGTGCACTGCCAGGGCAGCTCGATCCAGTTCATTCCGCACGGGACTCGGTGGTTGACATCCGAGTCGCGTGCCCGGGTGAAGGGAAAACATATGTAAAATCAATAAATAAAATAAATAAATAAACAAATAAATATAGTTGCATGAATTGGGGACTTACTATCAATACCCTCTGGTAAACTAACATAGCAATGGAAAATCACCATGTTCAATGGGAAAATCCACTATAAATGGTCATTTTCAATAGCGATGTTAAATTGCCAGAGGGTAAGTCAGTTAAAACTCAGATAAGAGAATGGCTTCATGGCCACAAAGGTCCAAAATCTTGAAGATTATATTATAGTAGAGGTACAAGAAATGAAGGCCAAAAGAAGCACCTGTGGGAAGTTCACTGCATTTTGGGCGACTGGTTCCGACCATGTTCCGACTCTACTTGCGATGGCGAATCCAAGTGAGCGAGACGACCACAAAACAGAATCTGAGTGAATCATACAAGGTGGTGCTCCCTATGAGTTGGTCTATAACCACTAAGTCCACTAAGTATAAGCATATCTACCAGAAATGCTTAAGTTATATTAGAAGCATGGAATCTGCAGTTTCTACCCTTCGTTCCACAAGGTATAGTCACCCATCTGAGCAACAGCGCACATTGGCCAGCAGGGCTGGCAACATGACCTGTGGCGTGTGCGCCGGTCTCAGCATCATCAACGCTTCTAACAAATCTTCCACACTCTCCCCACTCTGGAACTTGCAATATTCTTCAAGTTCATGCTTTTGACGGTCCTGTGTCTTACATAGCTAGAATATGCTAGAATAAGTTAGATGCAGTAATGTCTTCAATTATGATGTATATCATAATATCTTATCGTGATCACCATGATCATCATCAAAATCATCATCATCATCATCATCCTCATCTCAATTTAGACTGCACTTCTAGGCTTCTCCGCCTGCCCTGCCGGTGCTCCAATACAAATCGAGCAATGCTAATCTAGAAACCTGTCTAAGCACAAATACTCCAGGGAGAGCGTTGCAGCGCTGGGCTCAGGATTTGACTACGGTAGGGCCGGTAGGGCGATAAGCCCCACAACTCAGAAAGATCTTGAAATAAACAGGTACCACCGTGTACCACCTGAAAGCCTGGAGATTCCTCGAGGTCGTGATAGCACCCCGGTATACACTGGTCGTGGCGGCTTGGCGTAGTTGTTGCATGGTTGTGCCTCCTGCAAGGCCACCAGAACAATCGTGCTGTGACAAAATGCGCACCTGTTTACTTCAGCTGCCGAATTGAGGCAGTGGTCTCTTGCTATGTACTAAGGCTACTACATGCTCACAAGTAGCATTGGGAGCAGGTGGTAGTGTCCGTTCTCTTCCGCCAGATCCTCTGGGAAAAGCCCGATATTGCAGGGCAAAGAAGGGTCAGCACGGAAGTCTAGCAGCAGCTGCGTCATTTCAGGATCTCCAATCCATGCAGCATGGCACAACGGAGTCAGACCGCGCAGAATACTGAAACCACGTTTGCTCTGAAAACTATGTTTCCTGCCCACTTGTTCCACCTCGGCAATCGCCGCTCCACAGAGTGAATCAAACATTCCAGTTGGAGCGGCACCAAGGTTCACATCTGCTTTGCTTTCAAGGATCAGTCGCACCGTGTCAACTGGAGACTTTTCACCGCGAGAGTGCAGGATTGACATCATCAAAGGGGTTTGGCCCAGCCCATGTCCTGAGCGAAGAAAGCTTGCTCAGTTGGCAACCTCCGGCATCAAAATACATCAAACCACTTCCCCAAGTTGAACTGGATCCACCAAAAGAATATCAAAATCAGCTGGAATCTTTTGAAGAAAAAATATGAGCATCAGACTAAGTCCCTGAACGGAGGGATAAAGACCGTGGTTTCCTATACATTCTCCCTTAAACCAATCCATTGACTAAGGGAATGAAAACTCGTTAAAGCCAAATCGGCCAAACGACTTGGCGGATTCGGGTCGCACCTTGCCTTCAACAACGCCGCCACCGTGGCAGTGTCCGAACCAGCAGAAGATGCGGCCACAGTGAGCGGGGTGAGACCATAGGGTTCGTAGCTGCTATGCAAATCAGCCTGGGCCTCCAAGGCAAAAAGAAATGTGAAGAGACTATTGGGCCTCTCATGTGAAAAACTGTAGGGTGGTTGGGATATGTTGGGATACATAAAAATAGAATAAACAGAATAAACAAACACAGAACACATTGTTGATTCAGCATCTCGCTTTTTCAACAGTTTGTGCTCCACTCGAGGCTGCTCAGTGCTGGATCATCCTACCGGTGGTGCAGCATCAAAAGGATTGCAAACACTGTACACCTCGGTGTCAGTGCTATACAGGGCTATACATACCAAATGACAGTAAAGAAGACGACATATTCGAGGTGCGTTGATGGCGGCTTGGATCTCCAAAACCTTTAGATAAAAGATGATAAAAGTGTGGGCTGCATTATTCTTGCATTTTCACTGGGATGTGTCAAGACTTGCTTGAAAGTTCCTTCAATTTGCTGCTTTTGTAATTATGGTGGCAGCAGTAGTGGTGATGCTGCTCCTGTTCTTCTATTTCTGGTTCTTCACTCCTGACGTCATGTTCACTCTGTCTTTTTGACCTGCATTGCGCTGTCTGCTGCTTCCTGGATCTTCCTGCTATGATGCTATCTTCATTCTTCACACCATTCCCAATCTGCCGTGTCTTACTCCATGTAATTACCTTTCCTCCATATTAACTTACGTTCCTCCACATCTTGTCGGTCTCAACTACTCCTCTAAGGTTTACCCATGTTGCCCATGTTCATCTCTACCTGCAGCTTTCAGCCTTTCAGCCCGCTTGAAGCTGTTTTTTTCTTTGTGCAGGGCGGTGCTGCGGGTGTCTGTGTGTTCTGAGCACTCGGTTCCCTCTTCAGTTTCAGGTCTAGAAATGTGTGTATACATATGTGATATACATATAGCCATTAGTGTTTTATTACTTTGACTGCTACAGTATCATTGTTCTATACAATTCTTTGTGCTGTCTTTACTATGTTCAATTACATATTATTGCGCGTACTGTCATCAACACTATTATACTCATACATGAATCCCGTCCATCAGTTATGTTCCCACTCATGCCTCCACGATCACCTTAAGCTGTTCAGCGGACCGCACAAAGTTCGCAACAATTGCTCCAACATTCGAAATGGCCTTCACATCTGCACCAAGTTCAATGAGTGTGGCTAAAATTGGCGCTGGTTGATTTGATTTCGCTGCCATCAGAAGTAAGGTTTGGCCATCGAAATATCCAAGCTCTGCAAGTCCACGAACACTCAAATTCATATTTGCCTTAGAGGTCGCAAGCAGTCGCAGCATCGTTCGGTCGCCACAAAACATGGCGCAGAGAACGCCATTCATGCCGCTTTCATCTCGAGAAGCTTCTTCAAGGCTTGAAAACCGGAAATCATTGAGAAATGCCTGCAAGCGGTAGTCATGGTGGTGCTGGCCCAGCATTTTGGATTGATGAGCCACGTAAAAGCGATACTTGTTGACGGGGCCGCTTGTTTTCAGCTTGGAGATCTTCCTTTTCAACGCCCTCTCAGCCAGCTTCGCCACTACGAAACGGTCCGCCTCCACCGTGAAGTCGCCGCTCACAACACTATTCTTCAACCATTCCAGGGCAAGCATGAACTTGGCCTCTTTCTCTGAAAATATGATGATGGCACTGGTGTCAGTCTTGCCCGCCAGCATGTGAAACCACAACTCTGCCCTGCACCATCCTCTCAGCGTGAGGATTTTGGTTGCAACAATAACAATTGGAAATAATTCCCGAATTTCGAATCAATAATGTCAAGCACAATTGCTTGAATACCAAGTGTCTAGAGAAATGGGTGTTGGTGATAGTAAATTAGTAAATGTACACCAAATGCACACTATCATTCATGTATATAATAAGGATGTTCCACTTCAGGGTGTTCAGGCCTTCGGAGTTTGGGGTGATAGGGGGGAGTAGGCTTTTGGGAGGTTGCGGAGGGATTGAGGGATTGGGTTTAGGTCTTTTGGTGGAAGTGAGTTTCGGGAAATCCAAATCGATTCCAAAAGCCCTAAATTGTTGCGTGTAAGGAAGAGTGAACTACTGTGCTTCAAGAACAAACCATTCCCTCCTCTAGCTATCCAGGTGGAATGATTGCACCATTTCTTCTCTTCGTTCAGCACATAGGGCACCAACGCGATGAAAATGTCAGCACACTCCACATATGCGGGAATACTCTTGACTGCTAGAGCAGCATCTGACTTCGTGGTTGCCTCGTTCACTCCATGGAGACGGGCCGTGACTTGTGGGATCGCAAACCAGTCCAGAAAAAGATATCCCTCCAGAATGTTCTTGCGGGTATCTTCTGAAAGGGTGAGGCGCTGGCCATAAGATGCAGATACTGTATCCCCTTCGATCATCAAATCCTCTTGCTCTAGTCGAGCGATCAGCTTCCGCAGGACAGAGGTCTGAGCACCACTGGGATCTGGATGCTGTCTTCCCAGCCACTGATGAGAAATGAAGACAGTGTACATCCCTTGCTCCCATTTTTGAAGCAAGTTTTGCTTCACCAGTTCAGCATGTGACAACAGGGCTCCCTCCATTCGGAGGAAATCAGAGACCTTCACCACATACATAGGAAAAAACATTTGATGCACCCCAGGTTGTGCATTTGTGAAACAATTCCCCATGGCTTCCTACAGGTCTGAAGCCTTCCGTTCTGAGCCTTGAAAATGGCTGACATCAAGCCATCCAGGGCATAAAGCGACTGAAATCTGCTTCGTTGATACGGGTTCCAATGTTGGATGTTTTCTTTCTTTTCCTGAAAAACCTTGTGACCAATTAGTCTATAACACCATTAATTATTTCACTATCAACTACCGGCGATTTTGTGCATTGCTGAATTGTCTTTCAATAGCCGGAATTGTTCGCCATCTGTGGCAACTGGCTTTTTCGCCATCTGTGGCACGCTCCTGATCGGGCACAGGACCTTTGGCCCCAGATTTCCACCTAGTGTGCCGAAAAGTCATCGAAATCCTCCAAAGGAGGAAAATGATCTCTGGGCTGAAGAGAAATGTCAGGAAACCTTCAGCAGATCTTTTCCTTTATCAGGGCTGCATCTAAGGTCCTACCATTTCTCAAGGGGGAGGCCCGAAAATTGCGAGATAACACCGTGCTTTGTGACTAATTGAGTTGAACTGTACAGCAAGCTCATTGCAGCATTGGCTTCTGCTCTGGCACTTCTTTGCCTGGCGCAACAACAAAACCATGTCCGCCAGGATGAAGTGCCGTGCGGTTTTCAAGGTTTTCTAGTCACCGTGACTCTAGTCACACATTGGTTTCCTGGGAATATACGTTGGGTCAAATAATTGGCCCAAAAAGTGGATGGCTTGATACCAAGAATTGCTCTTTGCTTGTGTCCATTGGTACCCCATGGTCTTGATCCATACACAACGCGTATCTTGCACATAGTGCCGACCCACTAACACTTGGCAATGAAGCTTCAACGGAAATCTCTTCTACAATGACACTCCTGGGGGTCGCAGTGGCAGTAGTCACACAAAACAAGAAAGAAAACCAAATCTTAAAGCGGAAAATCATTGAACATCTATGAATATATCATCTATCATTGGACACATAATTTGTGGATAGTTGTGGTATTTTCTGTTGCTTCGATTTGTGGAGGGTAGCACTGGTTGTTGGTCCAGCTCCAACAACACACACCTGAGCTCAAAGTTCACCTGTCAAGAGCTGGACCTCAGCAATGATCACCAGTAACGATGGGATGGTTTAGTCAATTATTCAAATATGTTTCCCCAAAAAAATGATTCTCATTGTTGGATTATGCCCTAGAAATTCTAGGCAAACCCAGACTATGAAAATTATGAAACATAAAACTCTTGGCTGTATCCCCCATCATTCATGAGTAGAACCCACTGTTTGATAGTTATAGTTATATGATATATGAGTTATATGCAACCCTACCCTGGCCCTACCCTGTGATTTGCTTCTTTGTATCCCAGCGTTTTGGAGGTGAATCCCCCAAAAAAGTGGACTGATTTCAGGGAAAATATGGACACACTACAAGAAACCATGGGTTTTACTCCCCTAACCAGGGTTATTCTTCAGTAATCAAACGTGGCTGGGAAATCCCCGAACTAAATAGTGGATTTTCCATTGCCATGTTTGATTACTAGAGGCAAAAACATACCATCAATTCCCATTCAGTTGCTTTATAAACTCCATCAACTAGTATCAACTATGGATAATCATAGATATCCCAACTGATATCATCTTGCTACAGTAACGGAGTTTATCCCTATATCCCATCAACTATAGTTGCTTTTAAAAATATATATATATCTCATATCCAGTTGGCCTATATCAACTATAGATAATCACAGATATCCAATGATTAAATCATGGTGAAATCCCCTGCTGCAATGCCGAGGCGCTGAGGGCAGGGGAGCTGAAGCGCCAGGTAAAGCTCGCCAGCCATCTTTAGGCACTGCACTGGCAGGAGCCTGAAAGGACGGTGATCCAGTCATGGGAAAATCATGGGATTTAGTGAGACATATGAAAACAATGGGATTCGTGTAGTCTATAAGTCTATATAATTGATATGATAGCTTCTTGCGATCTTATCTCAAACATGCGATGTTTGCCATAGATAGGACGATCCAATCAGTACAGCGTGTTTAATTTTACCACATTGAAGTTCGAGAAACGTCTCGTTCGCAGTATCCGTATCATTGTTTTTAGTGCATGAGTTGGTTGCGTGTGCGTCTTCATCATCCCACAAAATCAACGAATATAAATGTGTAAATCCAAAGACATGAAGAACGGCGTCGCGAGGCAACGTTCGCTCATCGCAAAGCGTTGCCACTCTGGTGTTGTGAGACCGATTAATCCAATAGTTACAACATTCAACTCGTCACACCCCTCTCATATACACCCCCCAAAAAACACCCTTAAAAACCATGGTTTAGGGGGAATTTTCACATATTTGGAACCATTTATGGGGGCTTTACTCTTCGGGGGACTGGGAGTCACATTGACATAACTTCGCAGGGCTCGATCTTCGGCACGGCCTTGCTAATGTAGACTCCTTTGCCATCGGGTGCATCAATCCACCTGCCAGGACAGTGATGAAGTCTTCAAGGCACCTGTCCCATCCTGTCCCCGTCAAGACCTTGGAAATTGATGAGGTTAGTCCAAACATTCAAAACAGAGATATCTCGTTGACAGCGCAGATTTCACGAGACCTAGTTGATCAGGCATCCCTGGCCCTCACAGTCTTCAGTTTGCAAGGGTTGCATTCATTCGTTCAATGGATTGTTTTACGGGAAAAATTACAAGAAACCACGGTCTTGAATCCAAAACAAGGGGGGGCCTGAGAACCCAAAAGCAAAACGACAGCAAACGAATTTGAGTAATACTGATAATTGGTTTATTTCTTTTTCGCCTCTTGCCAGCTTCTTTTTAGAAAATGAACATTATGGACGCATTCACTGCAAATTTCATTTTTCCCCACCTGCCAGGTGAGGGTTGTTAGATTTTATCAGAGTTGTTCTCCTCGGCTAGCTGTCCTCCTCGTCCTCGTCCTCCGCCTTCTCCTCCTCCTCTGCCTCCTCCTCCAGTTTCTCCTCGATCATGTCTGCATCAACTTCCACCTCAACTTCCGCCTTGCCAACTCTTCGCCAAGCTCTTCGCCAACTTCCCAGCTCAGTGCGCACCGCTGGACCTCAACCTGGGAGCTTCCCAGCTCAGTGTGCACCGCTGGACCTCAACCTGGGACCAAACCAGCTCAGTGTGCACTGCTGGACCTCAACCTGGGACCTGCCCAGCTCAGTGTGCACCGCTGGACCTCAACCTGGGACCAAACCAGCTCAGTGTGCACCGCTGGACCTCAACCTGGGACCAAACCAGCTCAGTGTGCACCGCTGGACCTCAACCTGGGACCTTCCCAGCTCAGTGTGCACCGCTGGACCTCAACCTGGGACCTTCCCAGCTCTGCGTGCACTGCTGGACCTCAACGGCCAGATAGAATACCAGAAGATATGCCAGATAGAGTGTTAGAAGATATGTCAGATAGAATGCCAGAAGATATGCCAGAACATATTGCAGAAGATATGCCATGTAGAATGCCAGAAGATATGCCAGAAGATATGCTAGATAAAATGCCAGAAGATATGCTAGATAAAATGCCAGAAGATATGTCAGATAGAATGCCAGAAGATTTGCCAGTAACAAAACGTATAAATGTCATGGTGGGGATAACTCGAAGTAAAGTAATTTCAGCTCTGCGCGGAAACATTGAGTGACAGTGTGCAATAGCCAAGCAAGCTCATTTGAGCACGGTCATGCGACGGCGGCTGATTTCCAAATCAACCTCTCCTTTCCTTTCCCTTCCTTTCCTTCCTTTCCCGTCCTTTCCCTTCCTTTCCCTTCCTTTTCCGTCCTTTCCCTTCCTTTCCCTTTCTTTCCCTTTCTTTCCCTTCCTTTCCCTTTCTTTCCGTTCCTTTCCCGTCCTTTCCATTCCTTTCCCTTCCTTTCCCTTCCTGTCCCTTCCGTTCCCTTCCTTTCCCTTTCTTTCCCGAAGCAAGGGTTCCCGTTGCCCAACCGTCCGCAACCACTCGCAACCGTCCGCGCGATTGCTATATGGCCGTGCCTCTGGTAAGTTCTCCACAAGGGCTAATTTTTGCGTTTCGCGTGGCAGGCGTGGCACTTCGTGACATTCAGACGTGTTTTGTAACGTGTCGGAAAGTCATTTTGTGTGGCAGGCGCACTACTTTTGCGACGTTTTCAGAAGATGCGTTGCAGTTTTCGTGGCCGGCGCAGCACTTTGGACGTGTCCATCGTCATTTTGCGTGGCAGGCGCAGCACTTTAGACGCGTCGTGTTGCGTGTTTTTTACGAATCGCATTGGCAGAGCTGCGTAAAGTGGCGACAAGGTGCAGATTCCGTGGCAGACGTGGCATTTTGTGAGATGTGCTGAAAATTGACGGAAGCCTCCCACGAAACATCGATTTTGAGGTAGCAAATTTAAAGGCTCGTACGAAAACTCGCAGGAAAACGTCAATTTTGAAGCTATATACAAAGTGTGAAAATTGGAGGAAGTCTCGAAAATTGGAGGAAGTCTCGCACGAAAGGCTCGTTTTGATGCTCCCACATCTCTCGTCTCAAGTCTCTGGTTTTCCTGTAGCGTCGCCGTGTCTATGGGGGAAGCTGCAAAATCTCTCCTTTTCGAAGGTTTCCATTGTCATGTCGTTTTGCGTGGCAAGGGTGGCACTTTACACTCTACACTCCACCACACTCTACACTTTGCACACTCCTCACTCTACACTCCACCACACTCTACACTTTGCACACTCCTCACTCCACACTTTAAATTAAAACTCTACACGCCACACTCCACACTCGACACTTTCCACTCCACACTCTACACTCCACACTTTACACTCCACACTCCTCACTCCACAATTTACACTTTACACTCCTCACTCCACACTCTACACTTTACACTTTGCACTTTCCACTCCCCCTTCACACTCTACACTTTACACTCTACACTCCACAATTTACACTTTGGACTCCACACTTTAAACTTTGCACTCCACACTTTACACTCCTACACACTCCACACTCTACACCCCACACTCCACCACACTCCACACTCTACACCCCACACTCCACCACACCCCACACTTTACACTCC